CCTCTCTGGGTGGGCTCTGTAGTGCCCTTGACCTCTCTGGACCTTGGCTGCTTTATCAAAGTTGCTTTGTCACCTCTGAATCAAGAGTTAGACTTGATCAATAACTTTCAATCACATCTGGCAGCAGAAGTTTTCGCTTCCGCCCTGTATGTCAGCGTTAGAACTACACGTGCAAAACTGGGAAAGTGGAGCTGCTTTGATTGTGGCCAGGGAGGGCTCTCAGTGGGTCCCTGTCACCTCTCCTTGATGGCGCTTGATAAATTCTCAACTTCGGTGCCATCCCTTTGTCATAGGAGCTCCACTCTCTGATGCCTTTGGCGGATAATACTGACAGTCACTGGTCAGCCTGCTTCAGCACTCAGCCCCTGACATGCCCTGCCTCGTCTAAGTTAATCCTCACAACACCCTTGGTCCTTATAAAAGTGAAGGGATTTGCCCGGTCACAGCTAATAGGAGGGTGAGGATTCGGAGCCTGGGTCTGCTCCCGGCCCAGCCCCTGCCCAGCCCCCTGCCCTCACTCCCAGCGGCCCTGGTCCCTGGCCCTGCCCCAGGCCTGGATGAAGTGGCAGGAGGGTGAAGTATGTATCCCCAGAGGGATCATAGAATAAAAGATTTCTGCTGGCTAAGCCTCGAGACATTAAGAAAAAGAGCTTGCTGATGTCAGGTCCCGCCAAGGTGGACGCTCACTGTAGAGACTAGAAGTAAGCGTGCCAGCAAGTTCCCCCACCACAGCAGCCACGCATGTGACGGTTTGACAGAACACAACTCAAACAGGCATTCATTCGGCAGCCGGCAGTGAACGAGCAAAGAGACTGGATCGGCCTGTCTGCATCCTAGCAAAATCCCCCACTGTGGGCTTCAGTCCTCGGAAAGCCTGTTTCCTAGTGGTGCACCTCTCAGGACCCTGGGGTTGGAAGGAAACTTAGCAGCACATGGAGTCCCCGGCATAAAGTCTACATCAGTGAACCGTTGTTTACCGAACACCCGCCACGCACCAGGGGCTGGGTCAGGTGCTGCTGGAGATGCAGAGGTGACGTTACTGGATGAGAAACACTTTGTGAATTCAGAAGACGAGGCCAGTCGACTGGAAAGTCTCTGCTTCAGCCACGGCCTCCCAGCTGCCACAAACCCCATCTTTGCAAGGACTCTGATGAGCTCTGTCCACAGCCTGGCACCGAGGATGTCCACCTGTTGGGCAAGTCTCTAGATCCTTCTCACACACGGTGCCCTCATTACCCAAAGCCATTTCTTCCCAGACTGATTCAGCCACTACCTCTTCCAGGACAACACCCGACAGAGCCAGTGAGTGGAGTGCCCATCCCGCAGGCTTCCAAGAACGTGTGTTTACCCCACCACTCAATTCTGCCCCGTCTTTGTCAGTTCCCATGGCTATTTCCCCAAGCTGCCTTGCAATGACAGAGGAGGCACATACTAAACATTTCAGGACTGAATTGACCCTCTCTGGCTGTAGGTACGTCTATTAAATGAGGTGCACAATGGATGGGTTTGCCCATAGAGCCCACCTTGGCCTGATACTCCGTGGATCCCTGACTGGGAGAAGGGCTGCCGGCGGGAATTCATTTCTGGGAGTTGGGTGGACTCCATCTTGGTGGTTCCCAGTCAGGTTTGCAGCAGATAATGCTCTTCCTGGGGAATCGCGTGGACTCCTTGATTACTTGAGTCCTAGGCAAGCCTTGCTCCCCCAGAGCTATTATTACACTCGCCCTGAGAACCTCTGGGCTCTCATGTGATAGAAAGAGTACAGACTTGGGGTCCACTCCTGACTCTATCACTTAAGGGTGGTTTCACATTGAACATGTTATGCAACTTTCTAGGCTGATTTCCTAATCTGTAATACGAATATAATTCACACTTCGAAGGTGGTGGTGACGATCCATTCAGTGAGCTATTACATCTTAACTGGCCAGTGTGTGCCCAAACACGGTGGAAGGCGGCTTTGCTTTGTATAGAGTCATAGTGAAGACCTCAGAGAACGTCTGAGTTCCCGGCCGGTGTGAGGTGACCTCCAACCATAGACGGCAGAGAGAAAATCATCGATTGTCAGACCCCAGACGTTTAGTTAAATTTGCACAATTTTATTGATTGAAGAGATTAGGACAAAAACATTAAACCAAATACAGGACAAAGCACCAGAGGCCACAGATTCCCACCATGCATGTCACCAATCCTTCCTCCTACAGGGCACTTAAAAAATAAGGGAGAGGGAAGAAAAACAGGTCCTTCTTGACTCAGCACCATCTTCAGCATGTAAAAAAAAAAAAAAAAATCCTCTCTCCTTTTCATCTTCCATCATCAAAATAGAATCGAGAGCCAATCCATGGCCTCCTTGTCTCCTGACGGTGAACGAACGGTTAAGCCGCCCTCCTGGGAACGCGAGGCGGGGCTCCTGCTAAATAGGCATAAAGCATCCAGGGTCTGCACAGACATGCCACGTACTATAATGAAGCACAGATTCAAGTAACATTTACATACTAGAGTCCACGTGTCACCTACCCAGAAACATGACCGTTTCACAAAACGCATACAGGCAGTAAAAACCTAACAACTGAGGTACTGGAAACACAAACATTGATGCAGAAGAGTTCTGTATCATACAGCGATAGAAAAGCCATAATAATAATAATAATAATAAAGAAAAAAAAACAACCCAACATTTGCCACTCGAAATCAAATAAAGCTAGCTAGAAAAGCCAAATAAAAGGTTATTTCAGGGACAGGAATACTCAAACAAGGAAAAAAATATATATATATAAATGTTAACTACAGCATGTAACATATTATCCCAAGTCAACCCGTAATTGAAGTACTGGCTTAATACATCACAATGTGACATTTTCCTTAATAAATAGAAGAGTTCTTGAAAATACAAAGGTGCGTATTGGGATAGAGAGCTGTTTTTATTTATATCATCCTCGCTTTCAGCTTAATTTTCCTTTTCATTCGTCTCTGCTGAGGGTTTCTGTCCAAACCAGAGGGCCTTCCAAGCCAAAAAGGATCATACTCCGTACAGAAAACTTAAAAGCTGCCCTGTATTTTATACACGTGGGACAACCTGCTTCGTTTCACTAGTTTCCAACAGAACCAAGACGAAGTGTTTAGCTGAGATCAGAGTGTTGTACCAGCTTCAGACTGCAAAGAGCTTCCGGTTTCTCACACCATCACTCCCCTCAGCCAAGAAGAGTGCCTGTAACGCAGCCCCCATCGTTCAAACAACAACCGAAAAAATGTAAGCCGAATTTCCCGTTTCCTTTCTTCTTCCTTTTTTTCCCTCTGTCTTTAAACTATGACAGCAGTAATGCATCTGGAAGTTTGACTTCTAATAGCTTCCTGCCAGAAACCAACTGACACAAAACAGAATAGTGGGTTAAAGGACAGACTTTTTTTTTCCACCTTCAGGGAACAAAGCATTAACATGTCATTTCCTGACCAGGATCTTAAATAGTTTCTTTAGAAGAAATGAGTTGAAGAGCGCAATTAAGAGACACAAACTGGACTTTTATTTTCTTTTAGTTTAGCACCCAGGTTTCATGTCAGTCTGTGTGCACCTAATTTTTTTTTTTAAATGAACCCCATGAATTATCCGATAGATAGGTGGCTGGCTTGTTTCAAAAGGAAAACAAAAAAACAAAAACAAAAACAAAAACCCTTGGCCAATTGTACCTTCCCTGAATTCATGACAAGAAGTTAGATGCTAACAGTGCGATGCCAAGATGTATGTTTGAGGCAGAGAGTTTTGATTCTATCAGGATCTGCAACTATTTTGGAACAAAATGAAAAGTGGGGTAGGCGGAAGCAGCCCAACCGACAGGGGTGGTCTCCGGTCACTCTGCCAGGCAAGAGGAGATCCGGGGGCGCCTGCCCACCCGGCAGGACCCCAGAGCCCGCCCCCATCCCACGTCCCTCGTGCCCCCACCCCCTGCTACATGTTCAGTCAGCTCCTGGACCATTTTCCTTCTTTGAACCAAGAAGCTTGTGAGTGTCAGGGTCTTTCTGGCTGCCAAGCCGGGCGACCGATCCGTGTTCCCTGGAAGAACGCCTCTCCGCTCTCCTCTCTCGCTCCTGGTACCTGCTCAGTCTCTGCGCGGCGTGAGCTCAGTTAAAGAAAGGGTCCAAGTTCTCCTCCATGTTGACATCCGGCACCAGCTGATCGGACGCTTCCTTAGCACCATATCCTGAATTCGAGACGCTAAAATCTGTAGAAAACCAAGGATGGTCCAGAATCTCCTGCGAGGTCAGCCGCTCGGAGGGCTCTCGCCGCAGGATGCTTCGGATGAGGCACTTGGCCTTGGGCGACAGAGTCTCTGGAATGTTGAACTGGCCACGCCGGATCTTGCTGAAGAGGGAACTGGGCTCAATGTCATGGAAAGGGTACCGCCCGACCAACATGGTGTACAGCATCACTCCCAGGCTCCACACGTCGGCCGCTTTGCCGGAGTAGCTGCCACTGGTGTTCAGGATCTCCGGGCTGACGTACGCCGGGCAGCCGTGCTTGTCGGAGAGCGAGTCGTCATCCCCTCGCAGGATGTAGGCGTCCTCCAGGCTCTCCAGCTTGACCCGGGTCCTGCAAGAAAGGGAGGCAAACATGAGCTCCCGGGGGTGCACCGAGACCCAGCAATCCCACGATTACATCACAGCTCCCGCTCTGCTGTTTCCAATGACCCTTCACTCACTCACTGGACCAGCCGCACATTGCTTTCTAGGTGCCAGACCCTATTCTAGGGCTGGGACCCGGGAGTGAACAAGACCTGCAAAGGCTCTGCATGAAACTTACCATCTATTGGGAGACCCAAAACTTCAGCAAGTAAGCAGACCGCAGATAGCATTATTCCTAGCCCGTCTTAGTGATGAGGGAACAGAGATTAAATAATATGCTCAAAGTCACAGCTAGGTAATGACAGGGAGCCACAAGATTTTGAACTCAGATCCAACCAGCTGGGAAGCTCATGGAAGCCTGTCCACAACCTCTGGCAATCTTGCAGCTAACACAGCACAACACAGGAGGAAGGACCCTTCGCTCAGCTGTATTCTCGCTTCACCGCCGTCCTTCTGTTAGACTGGGAGGATTTCACCGTCCCATTTTACAGATGAGGACATGGAGGCTCAGAGAGTCTGAGTAACTTCTAGTTGGGAAAGAGGGAAAACCTGACCACGCATCTTCCTGAGTCAACCCTGTTGCTCCTTCCACTACATCAAGCTGCCTCTCTTAGGACTCAGACAGAGCCAGGGAATGTTGGATCGGCGTGTATCCCATCACCTAGTCCTTCCAAGTTCGGCATCCTCATCTTCTTTCCAATCCCATCCTCTTTCCGAGATTTCCTGTTGTATTTGCCTCCCAACCTGCCCATCAGACTCCCAGGATGTGGTCCTTGACCTGGTACTTCTGTGACTTTGGTTACCCGTATCTTCCACCTGTGTCAGTGCATATGTGATTCTGATGTCTCACGTGGGCGCATGGGTGTGTGGGTGAATCTTCCCCCCACCATTTAAGGACCACTGAGCTGG